ACCAGTACCCCCACAGAGTGGGAGGGATGGGGCCTGGGACAAGCCCATGGCCAGGGCTGTCCCAGGGGGGAGGGGAGGGTTGAATTGAGGCAACTGCCTCAGGCCCCACAAACAGTCCTGTACAGGCTACAAGTTGCCATGCACTACTGTTACCATGCACTACTATTGCCAAGCACCACCAGCTCTGCTGCTGCCAGACACTGCTGACTCTGGCCGCTTGCCTCCCCTCTCCTCCAGCTGCTTGCCACCTCGCCTCCCCCTGGGCCCCACACGCTCCTAAGGTCAGTTCTGCTCACAACTCCCCCCCCCCCATCGCAGTTGATTCAGAGCTTTTATCTGGTCTCCTGATTAGATTCAAAGATTTAGCCACCGAATCAGGCCGAATCTCCTCCAAATCAAATCAGCTACCAAAGCTTTGCACAGCCCTAGCAAATAGTAGGGGGCCTGGGCTACAGTCCAAGGAAGAGTCCCACTTGTTTGTGCAATAAAGCTACACAGTAAAATGGGAAGAGCATGATGTATAAGAGTACAACCCAACTCTAAGTGTATTTTTCAAGGAAACACTTGTGGTAGGGATTCACCAAATTGAATCCCTGTCCCTTGAATCTGAATCCAAAGCAAATACTTGCCACTGTGCACAAGCCTACTATTTACACAAGAAAACCTTTGATCTAGGTTTGAAGGTGCTTTGAAACTAGGCCACTTGACCTAGCTGGGTGTTCAGATGCATCCTCACTCTATTTGAAAAAGGACATGTACAAAGATAAGCTATAGTCTTACAGTACAGTTTCCACAGTTCTTCCTAAAGACCAATGAATTTACCCATAATTGATTCTTTCCCAGGCACAGAAAGAGTCACAAGGTGTACAAAGTCACAAGACATGCCTCCAATTCACTTGGAAGGCAGAAGCATGTTGGGGATTGCCCACGTGCCAGTGAGTGATCCAGGCCATCTATGCAGTGAAAACCTAGTGCATGTGTATACTGACACTTCAGTAAAGCTCAGAAGTACCTAAACTAGTTTTAGAAGCTGTCTGATTGCAGCAGAGTAGCAGGGTAAATTAGTCCACGTGAAGCCCTGTGCTACTGACTAGACTGCTTTTGGTACCTGAGCTTAGTGCTCTCCACTGTCCTGCAGTGTAGAATAAAACAAGTACACCCTCAGGCCATTTTTGGGGATACACTTCAGGCAAGATGATGCTGGACAGGCAGCTCCTGTTGCAACCATACTGCTGTAGAAGGGCAAGGGTGTGGAGCTAACAAGACCTGTACAGCTTTTGAAACATGAAACTTGAGAGAGCCAATACTCCCACTAACAGTTTCCAGAATGGGTATAGAGAACAGCACTTTCCTCTTTGAAGTCTTTGTACTCTTTGGAGAGATGCTGTAGGCTGGGTTTATCTGAAACAGAGGAGAAATGATACAACTGGGTGCTTGGGGCAGTTGCCACACAGGGGAATTTCTAGTTGCTGCTATACCACAGCACATTCCACAGCTGCAGCCACTCTGCCTTCTCCCCCCCCCCCCCC